AAAAAAAAAAAAAAAAAAAAGGAGTTCTGCCCTGTGTTAGCAAGTCTGGATAGCTCCTCAGCCAGTAGGTGTGCATCATGTCAGGTCCTGGTTCTGTCCAGAGACTCGATGTTGGAGGCCTGCCTCGGTGATGCTCTGATGATGAGTTCTGGCTGTGCTCTGTTTTTAGGTCTATAAGGCACTTGATGCTGGGGTTGTGTGAGAATGCGTGCTCCCAGATGTGCTCCTAGTATTCCTCATTCTGTTTTCTTGTCATGTAGCTGAGAGTACAGTGTGGATGGATCTGTGGAGAACAGGCCATTAGTTCTTTTCTCTCCAGCCTGTCAGAGCTGTGAGCCTTTGTTAACCAGTTTCTAGAGCTTCGGTGATGGACGTTATGCTGTACCTCAGTTTACAGAGCTCTGTGCTGCTTTGGCTCCTAGCCTTCTTCTCCATGAGGGAAGGCTTCACTCTACCTGCACTGCTTTGTGATAAAGTGCTCATCTGTAGGAGTAAAACAGCTCCTGTATGTGTGATTGGATACATGAGGCTTGTAGTAAAAAGCGAAGTACCAGTATATTTCACCAATACTTCAGTTCCACTGCCCTTTTCTAGCATCTGCTGGTCCCAGTGTGTTGTCACCTCTGGGTCTCCAGCTTTGAGCTCTTGTAGCCTCTACCCTGTTTCTCATCAGGATGTCCAGCTTCCCAAACACGTGACTTGGACCTTGTTAAGCTGCTGTTTGAGTATTGTGCTATTGTATATTTGTACTTTTATCAAAGCCTCTTTAATTATTATCTGTACTCTGTGGTATAGCGTAACAGGTAGACTTCTACAGAGTAATATGACAGTAATATGGTGAAGCCCAAACCTTAAAGTACTGTGATAGCACCACCACAATCACCACAGTGTTTGTTAGAAAGCACTGACAAGCCGCAAAAACGGTGCTTGTGTCAATGTGTGTAATTGGGTGAATAAAGGGCTTTGAGTACTCCAGGAGAGTAGAAAAGCGCTATATAAGAATCAGTCCATTTACCATTCACCATCTCCTGCAGGTCTCTGATGGAGGATCATCTCTCCATCATCTTCTTGGGAAAAGCTGGAGCTGGTAAAAGTTCTTCAGGAAACACCATCCTAGGACGAGAAGTGTTTGAGTCCAAACTGTCCTTCAGACCAGTGACCAGCCTCATTTCTGTGGAATCAGGAACTGTTTTTGGGAGGCAGGTCTCAGTGATCGACACTCCAGACATATTAAGATCAGAGCAGCAGGTCCAGACCTTCTGTCAGTATGTCTTGCAGGACTCCAGACCTGTTCTCTTCCTGCTGGTGATCAGAGTGGGTCGGTTCACTGTGGAGGACCACAGGGCCGTGGATGCAGCGAGCAGAGTGATCGGGCCTCACAGGCTGGAGAAATGTTACCTGCTCTTCACAGGTGGAGATGAACTGAAGATGTCATTGGACAATTATATTTTACAGAACAAAACAAGTTCACTTCCAGATGTTGTAAAAAGGTTTTCATGGAGAATTCACCTGTTCAACAACAAAGATGGAGGACAGGAACAAGTCAGAAAGCTGCTGGAGAACACAGGAAACTCAGCGGGTAAGATCTCAGTCACATTCAGAGTTTCTGTGAAGTTAGCAGCAGATCAGCCACAGTTTACCTGAAATAACAGAGAGGAGAACCAAAGCTGGGCTCCATGAAAGCTTCATATCCAAGATTTTAACAGGCAGAGACTTTGACAGATGCTGTGTCCACATCTGTACTGAGTATTGACGCTGATCATGTTTCCTCTGTGACTTTCTTCCATTTGTGCAACATCTCTAAAGTTAGAAATATCCTGTCTCT